CCAATATTTTGCCAATATGGGCAGTTTTGAATGCTCTATCCAATGAGCAGGAATAGAAAATTCAAAAACTGTACATCATAATTAAAATCCAGCATTACCGCTAATACACTGATTTTAAGAATGTTACTGTACCTTTTGGCACTTTAATGCGCTACAATAGAATTTTGGATGTGATATTTGGAGAGAGAGCGTATTTTTTACATATAGTACTTGGATTTTTAAAAGTATACAAGAAGCTTTTGGACGACTGTGGGCCAACTTTTATAGGAGAGCACAGATAAACATACTTGAGAAAAAATTCATCTTTGTTTATCAAATGTATTTAAATGTAAAATTAACATGATATTCGTGATTAGCATAATATTTTGCACAGGATGATGTATTTTTTATTGATATCTAAGACAAAGTGTTCCAAAGGGGGGATAGGGGTGGAACTTTTTTCGAAAAAAATGAAAATGAAAATTTTGGAAAACGAAATGGGCTCTCTTGTTCAGAATTCGGTGTTGATTACGCTCATACAGTTTTTTTCGAAATTGTTTTGGGCCGACTTCATCGAAAACCCTCCCACGTCCTTCACGCCTACGAGGTATCACAGGAAATATTCTGTCCAATAAAGTCTTTAAATGAGGAAAACCCAAGCAATTTTGAAAAATATTTTTTACAATCAGTCAGTTACCAGCACATAATCAAAGTCAGTTTCATCTGTTGTTATATAGCTGTGCACATTCATTTTAGGAAAGTCGTCATAATTCGAATCGGTGAATATTTTCACCGGTAATTTGATTGGAAACAAAATGGAGAACGGTATTATTCAATATGCCTAAGAAAAGAATATGGAACTATCGTATAACAGAATGACGATGTATGTATATATTCTTTTCAAACAATCATCCCTGTCTATAACTGTCAATATCATAGATAAAAGTTAGTAAAATGGATCCGTTTCAATTTAATTGTAGTGATTTTATCGGAGAAAATAAATATATAACTTGGGCTTCTCTGACCGAAAAAGAAAGTTATGTTTGTCATTCCAAATTCGTGTAATTTATAAAATTAAAGCGAATTCTATACATTTTACTAACTTTAGTCTGTAATATTGAGATCTCTATATACCAAAAACTAGAGGAGAAATTTTTCTGAAAAATAGCTAAGTATAGTGTGCAAGTTGTGTACTAGAAACTGCCAGAAAAGCTGAGGAAGGGTACCATCAAATTTGTTAACATTTTAATCTTGGAAGTTGCTAGAATAAACACTAATTCCATAGCGAAGAGAATCTACTTACACTCTACTTCTTTTAGGTAAAACGATAAAACTTGTTCTTTTCTCCATTTTTTGCTTTATATCTGTGACTCTATAGTATGCATAGAAAAAAGGAAACATCAAAGTTTCATCTATCTGAGTAATTATTGTTCATCATTTGACACTCTTATTCATTGATTATCAATAGCTGTTTCAAGAAGATACTGACTATGGATAATAGCAGTCTTGTAACCATTTGTATTTCTGTTTTACATACATCATCTCTGACTACCATGGCCCGAAGAGAAAGTCGGAAAGCCATGGTAGTTCAGAAAGATCTCTGAAAACTCATTTGGTTTTATATTGACGTAAACACCTACTTCTTCGTGAGCAGCCTTATAACTCAAAAAGTAAACGGGACATTTTTCTATATTTTTCTATGCATGGTATAAAGTACAGGTTGTATACTACAAACTGCCAGAAAAGCTGAGGAAGCGTACCGTCAAATTTGTTTATTTTTTAATACGGGAAGTTGCCAGGATAAACACTAATTTCATAGTAAAGGGAATCTTTCATTTCGATAAAACGATAAAATTTGTTCTTTTCTCCATTTCTTGCTTTATATCTCTCTCTATAGTGTGCATAGAAAGAAAAAAAACATCAAGTCAAGTATATAGTACAGAAAAGAATATACATCGTCATTCTGTTATACGATAGTTTCATATTCTTTTTCTCAGGAATATTGAATAATACTGTTCTCAATTTTGTTTCTAATCAAATTACCAAGATATTTATCGATTCGAATTTTGATGACTTCCCTTACCTGTAAAACAAATAAGATGTTTCTATTAAACGATGATTTTGTTTGCATATACACTAATATTTATGTAGGTAAGAAAGAGTACATCCTCCGCCCTGTACTACGTTGTTATTATACGTCAGTGCTTCCTTATTTTCGAAACGCGAAAAAGGTAAAATGATTCACTCAAGATTAATTAGTCCTTTTTCTTATATGCAAAGTAGGGGCTGACAAGTAACACAGAGTCGAATTTCATGACAAATTTTTTGTTAGGTGCTACGAGCAGACGACGAAGTAACCACAGCAGTGTATGACAGTTATGGTCATAATTATGACTCAACATGATATACAAAATCCAGTATTCGCTACTGTTGACGTTGATGTTGAAGACATCAATATTGATGCTGATCAGTCGTCATATGAAGAAATTGCTGGGGTGATTTCTAATAAAGATGATCCAAACATGTTATGTTTAACATTTAGAACATGGCTTATTGGTCTTGTTTTTACAACATTACAATTAATTACTAAAGAATATTTTCAATACAAAAATTACCCTTATTCTTTATCAGGAATAATTGTGATATTTGTAACTTATCCAGTTGGCAAAATATTTGCATATATTTTACCTAAGAAATTAATTCGAATTTGTGCTACTAACAAATGGCAATTTTCATTAAATCCAGGGCCTTTTTCAATTAAGGAACATGTATTGATCGTTACGATGGCCACCACCTCATATTCACCATTTACACTCTATACGATTAATATGGAACGTATATATTATAAAAGACCGGTTAACCTTGTAGTTGGTATTATTCTAGTTATTTCTTCTCAACTGATGGGATTCGGTTTAGCCGGTAATGGTAGTTAACGTAATTTCCTCGAAAACCTCGGTTCTTCAGTTTGGTTCTGCTGAATAAACACAACCTTACTTTGCTCTCTCTTTTGCATATCCCCTGTCGCACTGCAGCATGATTATTAAACCCTTTTTGATTTAATAGTATTGTTGAAAAACTCAACTCATCAAAAAATAACTTTTAAGGTTTAGTAAGATACACTTTTCTTTAGAGAGGTGATGTTTTTTTTTGTCCTCTTTTTAGGTATCATGCGTCGATTTTTGGTGTGGCCTAGCTCACTAATATGGCCGGGTAATCTGCCGTTCATCGCTGTATTTCGTACACTTTCTGAGCCATCAGTGGCAAATCCTCAATGGAAAATGACGCGTTTGAAATTTTTTGTTATTGTTTGTGTTTTTCAATTTATTTATCATTGGTTTCCTGGTTTTATTATGCCAATTCTGGGGGCGTTTTCATGGATGTGTATGATTAAACCTAATAATCTGATACTTTCTCAGTTGACTGGCATAAATGGCCTAGGTCTTGGGGCATTACAATTAAACTGGAATCTTATTCGAGTTTTCGGTTCACCTATTATTATTCCATGGTGGGCACAAGTTAATTGTCTTGTTGGTTTTATAATTATTACTTGGATATTTATACCAATTGCTTATTATTCAAATTTATGGTCATCGAAATTGTTTCCTATTGTTTCATCAGACACTTATGCTTTTTATACTGGTGAGGGAAAGCTATATAATATAAGTAATCTGTTTGATAATGAATTCAAATTTAATAATACAGCGTATGAGGAGTATGGACCCGTTTATATGGGTATAACAAATATCATATCTATCGGTACCTATTGTGTTTGCATTATATCACTTTTACTACACACAGTTTTATATCATGGCAAAGATATTATTCAACAATATTATACATCTTTAAAGCAGAGAGATAATGATATTCATTGTACTCTGATGGCCAAGTATCCCGAAGCCCCTGAATGGTGGTATTTTATTTTATTTGCCATTAGTTTTATAGCTGCTGCAATTGTTTGTCACTTGGGTAATTTTATGCCCTGGTACTATTTATTTATAGCTGTTGGTATTAGTTTTATATTATTATTACCAACAGGTATTATTGAAGCTAAAACTAGCCTGGCTTTTCAAGTTATCATACTTTCGATATTAGTTGCTGGTGTACTAATGCCAAATCGTAATATTGAAGTTATTACATTTATTTCGTACACTTATCTAACACATAGACAAGCATTAAATTTGATCGCTGGTCTAAAATTATCGCATCACATGAAAATTCCGCCACGAACGATGTTTGCCACAATTATTGTTGGGACAATTATTCCTGCTACAATCAGTTATTCAATTTCTTACTATGTATTAAATTATCATTCAAATATTTGTGCAAATGATAGACAATGGTTTTGCTATACTACAAGTCAGTACTATGTAAGAACCATATGGAGCACAATAGGTTTGACATAATTTCTACTTCATTTGTGATTAAGTAAGGTGAAAAGGAGAAAAGCACAGTTGAAGAGCCGCCTTTTTTATCTCTGGATTTCTCCTCCAAGAAAGATCATAAAGGCGTGACAATACATCATTTTAATCAGAATTTGACGCTTTATCAAACTACATATAAGAAAAATTTTCAAAGATTTTTTGGAAAACCTCTACTCAAAAACCAGTTTTTCAGAAAAATAGCCAAACTGTTTTTTTGTTTAAATTCTGTCCATTCGATAGAGCATCAAAAACTGTATATATTGCTATAATTTTCGTGTTGAGTCCTTGTTTTCTATAACTGTAAAATGAAAATTACGAAACAAAAGAAGGGATTGTGGGGTTTCTTCATGAGCTTTTTGGCAGAAAGGTTTCGAAGCCATTTTCGGACTAAATTCCGAAGCTAGCGCATTTTTTATTATAAATGAGGTATTTTGAGACTGAAATATGATACTGAACGGTACTAGGCCGATATTAATTCAGTTAGATCATGAATGCCATTTGTACATAAAATATAACTTTCTTAGTGACGATCTAATTTTCTCCAATTATCGAGCAGGTAGTTAGGATCAGCGTTAAATTCTGAGTCGAACGATGTATATTGGAAAGAAATCTGAGAAATTAAGTTTTTCGATGTTCCAAGGCGAAAATTTTTCGAAACAAATGAACAAATGAAAGTTGATATTTCGAAAAACTAAAAGTGCAGTCTTATGTAGAATTTGACGCCGATTCCGAATATGTGTTTCTTTTTTCGAAATATTAAGTGACAGTTTGATCACTATGCGCCCTTCTCCTTTGTCAATGAAGGCGAATGAATTTCAGTCGTCTGCAGTCACCTCTGACAAATCAGTTCTGGGTGCTGCAAAAACGCTGTGATTTTAAATTTACTTGCAGATTCCCCACCTAGGACTTTTAGTTCTTTTGCAAAATGGTGCAGAATGTTACTTTAAAACTACAGAAGTAGTGGACACTTTTACAAATTATTTTTTATATGATCTATCGTGCTGACACGAAAACGGTGTAGTACTGTTGTGCTTCTAGACACAAATACGTTCGAAACTTTATGCAACATACTCTGGCAATTTGTTTCATACTGTAAACTATAGTATTCTATAAGTAACAGATGTTTTTTGTTCTTAAACATATAGCTCCAACAAAGCTATTTGCAAGAGGTGCACTTTATAATATGATTTGGTTAATAGTAATTGGTGGAATATTTCCTTTACCATTTTGGCTTTTTGGAATCAAGTATCCAAATATTAAATGGTTAAAATATATTCATATACCAATTATGTTTGGAGCATTACGTTATTTATATTATCTACCAGCTGGACATATGCCAACAAGCTTATTAATTGGTTTTATCTTTCACGTTCTTGTTCGTCAATGGTGGAAAGATCGTTATTCTGTTCTATTTTCAGCTGCAACAGATGTTGGTGTAGACATTTGTATTGTATTAATGCTTTTTATTTTTAAAAGCCAAAATATCCAATTTCCACAGTGGTGGGGCAATGGGGGTGAATACAGAGACGGTTGTGCTTTGTCACATGCAAATTATTTTGGAATTTTTCCTTAGAGGAACACTGTTGTGTTTTTGGTTTGCACAAAAAAGCTTTAAACTTTTTAGCCGTGTTCGAAGAAGAAGAAAAAGAAATTTCAAAAAATTGTTGTACGTAATGTGGTACATTTCATCTAAATCTGCTATTATTCTGTCATCGGCATTCGCAAAATAATGTGCAGGCATATTAAATTCAAGAAAAACCAGCTGCACTAGAGCAGACGTTTTTCGATCAAGTAGACGGATAATCTTGAGCTCATGGTTACTAGTAAGAGAATATTTATTTATTGCTTTTATTACTTGTTACTTTTTATAGCTAATAATAGAACTATTACTTATCACTAATAATAATAAACAATTTTTTATTATCTTATTGCTTTTTAAAAAGTAACAAATAATAATACTTTTTACTAACAAAAATGTTATTTTTCGTTTGTGTGATCAACTGTAAATATAGCAAAAATGAAGCTTTTTCAAATACTATTTTTTATTGTTGGTCTTATAATAATTTTCTAATCCTTCTTCCTTGTTCAAAGCTGATGACCAGTTTGCACACTCATCATGTGTTATGACATTAGGTTTTTTCATTCACCGGTTATTGCTCTAGAAAAGGTAACCGTAATAGTGACGATAAACTACCCACTTTTGCTACATGTTGTAACAACGCCGTTTGGTTCAAATAACATTTTTTTGCATGCTCATAAATACAACCCGTTTATTTATGAATGCGTTGTTGCACCAACAGATCTTACAGATACAACAGTTCCTGTTTCCCTTAATTTGACAATGTTCTACTTGCGAGCGTTTCTAACTCAAGTCTACCTTGAACACTGTTTAAAATTTCATGTAGTTCATATTTATGAATTGAATTTTGTGTTCGTTCAACAAATTCTTCAGCTCTTTCATCAATTGTTTGTTTTTCATCGACTGGTTCTTTTGAAACGCGTTTAGTCGCTTTTCTCGACCAAATATTGTCTAAATGTTTGAAATGAGCTATCCTCGTGCGTGATGCAACAAAATCAGCAAATTTTCTTGGTTGGGTGTTAGGTAACGACATCTAACATCACTGTACTTTGCGAGCCATTTTCTTATCCTCTCCTGTTCACGGCTTGTCCAAGCATGACGCTGTGACATTTTTGACACAGTAATTTGAGGTTTTCGCAAAAAGTGTAAGAGCTAGAAAGGACCCTGGCGGATTTGGTGATCCCCCTTGAACCAAGAAACCAAATATGCAGTTTTGTAGAACAGCTCGCGACGCGTCGAATGGTATATAAGAAATTCCGTTTTCATCTAAGCTTACAGGAT